TATGAGAAGAAGAACAAGAGAGAAAAAATCCAGAAAGTGTAAAAATGTTTTTTGTTTATTATTTCCTTAATCGTAATCTGTACCAAATACATATGTGTTATATACATGTATCCTAAACCAGCTAACATGTATACTCTACCAAGAATGATTTATAAATGTACAAAACCAACAACTAAACCAACGAAATTGAACCAGACTAATAGTTATTGAAGGTTTGGAGTCACACAAATCAAAACTTCAAACTAAATTTTCCATTGCCACTCAAAGAGCAAAAAATATTGAGTCAAAACTTGTCAAACTCGAACCTTAGTATGAATCCTTAGTTTGGCTCGAGACCATATCCATGAAGAAAAGAGGATGCAAATGCAAGAAGCTTGTGAATAGAGTGGCATCAAGCTTGTGAATAGAGTGGCGATTCATTTGAAAGCTCAAAAGAAGCAAAGTAATACAAGACAAGATTCCTCTAAACTCAAGCCAAAAAAAAAATTCACTCTTGTTATTGAACTCGCCACAAAAAAAGAGATGGACGTCGAGGGAGATATAACGGAGCTATCGCATGATTGCGACGAGTACTCACACATACTCAGGCAGCCGCTCTCTCCCCTTGATCTTGAGGAATTCCTCGATTTTTATATTCTTTGGTTTATTCTAGAATATCTTTTTCGAGAACTATTGCTCGAATGGGCTAGAACAATATTTAGCTTTTGATTTTTGGATTTCATTGTTTTCGTCTTTTTCGCATAATAATTTCGCCACTAGTTTACGCAGCCATGATTCTTTTATACCCTCATATTATAACACCGGTGTTGACAATTTTATTCTTTTTTCCTTTTCTGGAGTAACATGATTTTTATTATGCTCAAAGTTTTTTCACCAACAGTTTGGTTTTGAGCACTTCGATTTCCTTTCACTTTGGTGTGAAGTTCGAACTCGTTTTTTTTTAAGATGTCTACGTACCCTCCCTCTTTCGAGATCAAATCTAAACGTGGCTCCGATTCTAGCCTTTGTTCTAATGCGTAGGTAACATATTTTCTTAATAAGTTTCAAAAAAAAAATATATATATATATATTTTCTTAAATACATGGCATCCCCTTAGTCCTTAGAGATAAAATTTGTCTTTGAGTGGGAGAAAATCCAGTTGAGATGAAAGAACAGAGGAACAAAGCAATAAGACACATGATACTTATTAAAGAACTTAAGACAAATATGAATTTAACAAGTGTCAATACAAAGAAATTTATTTCAGAAATAAAGAACAAGAGTATTTTTGCGTAAAAAAAATTTAGAGAAATTGACCTCTATATTAGTTAAGAGAAAATTTGTAAAAATATGTTCAAATTTTGTTTTGTTTTGAAAACTAACCTCTCTTTCAAAATCTTTGAAAAAATAATCTTTCCATACTTAAAGTTACTAAAATATTCAAATCAAAATCCACCTTATAATTATTTAATAACAAAAACTAAAAATAAATATATTCGATCATTTTTCTATCATCATTATTGTTAAGTTAAGAAAAA